ACAATTTTTTTTTAAGATATTTAGCTTAATGTAATTTAAGATAGAAGCCAGAGTGGTGTGAAAGGAACAAATCTCTGTCACACTGGTATCAAGACAAACAATGCCAAGAATAACCAAATAAAGGTGCCCATGAGGACATGTGCACTCTTGTCTTCTTTAGCTTTGTGCCAGACATCACTGGGTGTTCCTCTGTCATCTGCATCTTCAAGTACTTTCTTCCAGCCTCCACCCTGTTAGCCCTCTCTCTGTTTTGTTTAGTTTCTGTTTCTATTGTCCTTTTTCAATTTTTGCTCCTCTGGATTTTGTTCACAAGGCAGAAGGAATACTGTAACATCTCAAGACTGCCTCAACCACTTTTCTTTCCCCTCAGAGGTACGATTATTGTCTTCAACACTGACCTCACAGCTGCTGAGGTTTTGGCTGTTCTGCAGACCCTTCCTTCCTTAATGCATATACACTGGACTTGAGGAATTTTTTGCTGAAATTACTGTACTTCCTTGCTTATGCTTTAATGCCTGATTGGTTCTGCTCCAAATAGGTTTAGAGGAAAATAGCCCATGAGGAAAACTCACAGGTATAACAAAGGATCCCACCTGGGAAAAAAAATGACAGTTGCTACTAACGTGCCTATAATTTAAAAGGAATCTAGGCCCTTCACTTTGTTGTCCCACTTTACCAACCTCAGCTGATCAGTTAAATCAGAATACCTTATTTTCTGAAGCAATAGCCCCACTCCTTCATCTCCAACACAACCTGAAATTAGGCTGCAAACATTACACACATCTATTTTTAACTACCTATCTACTGCTTCAATGTGGGGGTGTCCTGTATACAGGGACAGGGCAAGTATAGGAGCAACTATGGAAAACTGTTACATGCTCAGACATATCTGATAAGGTTAATCTCTCTATTAACAAAGTCCCTTAGCAGAGAGGCAGCTCATCTGGGGAAAAAGTAAGATTTTTGCTAGCATAATCAAAGCACCTCAAATGAAGTAAGCTGTATCATAAAAAAGAACTCCTTTGCCAACACAAACTGCATCTCCATAATGTATGGAAAGGTGCATGTGTAGCTCTGAAAGCCAGGGCTGTGATTTTTTTCCCCTCACAGTCTTGATCACTATAGCCACACTTGTAATAATGTGTTGTGTGGAGCTGGCCTTAATTTGTCATTTTCTTGCAAAACACAGAAATATTAATACTTTGATGTACAAGAAACACATCTAGCATTATAATCGATGCTATCTGAATTATAATAACAATGTATTTGTGAACCATTCCACCAGCACACAGGGTGATAAGAAATTGATCATCCGTCCACTGAGCAATGTAATTTGTTTGTTTCTCATTTAGTTGAAAATAAGCTTGACTTTATATTCAAACTGTTGTGGTAATAGCTGTTGCAAGTACGTGTAACAGTGAAATCTACACTTCATGCCTGAAATTGTTTCTGAAATATAAAAATATAATTACCTTTTTTTGCTGTTGCAATGCAGGTTATGTGACTGAGCACAGAACTCTGGTCCAATTAAAACCATCTCCAGATTCTTCATGAAAAGTATGTTTCAACCCAAACAAACAAAACATCAAAGATCCTCTTAGTATGTACCTTTTCCTGGAAGCACAAAACATGGAAATTACTGAATCCAAGAATGGATACATACTCCATCGTATAATGATGCATGTTTGGCAGTGACTAAAGAAATTATTTCCTGCAGAGATCTACACCAAAAAAGTACAATATTCCTTGAAAAAATTTATTAACCTTAAGTTAGTTGCCTTCACCAGGGCAATCCTTAACATGGCAGAAGACAGTCAACACATACACTTTCAGTACTAGTTCAGTCAAAAAGAAATTCAAAAGTATAATATGCCTGGCTCCACACCTGCAGTAAGAAACCAGCCAATGGAGGCTAGAGAGACTGTCTAATCTGGTTAGTCCTGCCTGTGGGCTACTCTTCCACATCTCTCACCCCACCCTCTTGCTGCAACTTATTTTGTACCCCTCCAGTTTTCCTTCCCCACATAGCCTGGATTTTTTTTCTCCCTTTTTATTCCTTCAGCTGTTTCTTCAACAACCTACCCAAAGCACCAAGCCCTGCATCTTACTCTGCCTCCTTTTTGCCCTTAGTGATACTTGCCACACCTCCACCTCTCCATCCACACTCTCTTGAGATTTTACTATTGCTCAATCAGCCCTTCTTGCATTCCAATTCTGTCTTTCTGCCCATTCCAATGACCTTTCTTCTCTTCTTTGGCTGCCACTACAGGATACACTTCAAATATTTCTTACAGGCCTATTAAATCTCAGTGTCCACACATCCTGGATCCCCTTGTCTGCTCTCCATCTGCAGCTTCAGTCTCTTACAGAAACCTCAATTTCTCATCTCATTCCACTCCCTACTCTCACACTGGGGCTGCCGTCACCATCTCAAACACTTTTTATCTGCTTCTGGGCAATATCTCAGCTCTCCCAACTGAAGTATTGCCAGCCAGCCACCCAGCTCCTCCTCATCAGCTTTCCTTCATGATTTCAACTCTCTTCCTGTCCTCACAATTTCGCGTAATCATTCTCATGAAGCTTCTGAGCTTCATGCTGATGTTCTTGCTGAAACACTGTAGTAGACACTCATGTGTCTCCTTGCCCTGATCCATTCATTTCACCTGTACCCCTCACTGTTCTACTCCTTGAAAGAGCCATTCCTTTGATGTGATCTGCAGCAACCATTGATTGCTTTACTCCTGATTTCTGTCATTCCACCCTTCCTCTCTGACCTGCTCCCTCACTTGGCATGTCCTCTCATTTGCTCTTTCCATTATTTTCATCTTGCCAGACTGATAAAACCCCACCTAATCTCAGCCTTCTTTCTCCTGCTTCATCTTTCTTCTCTTGCCCATATTTGATTGTACATTCTGTTTCTTCCTCTACAGTCCTATCTCATGAATTACAAAGTTTGGTTGCCAAACACACACCCCCAGTCTGATTTCAGCTTCAATTTCCTAGTCTGTCTGTGATCAGGTTTACTTCATTCTCAACCATTTAATTGTCTCCCAGTGATGTCATCCTCTTAATTTTGCCTCATACTTTTCTACGTTATCTGAAAACCTGGCTGCCTTTCACCACTATTAATGCACTTCTCAAATACTCTCTTCCTGAACATCTTCTGTACAAATCCTTGCCAAAGGAAATACTAACGTGGTACACTCTTGCAAGTCTATTCCTTATTTTACATGTTGGATATTTTTTCTTTCCTACTTTTACAGCCCATGTTTGTCCTGCTACAACCTAACTTCTGATCTGTTTCATATCTATCTTCATCCACTTCCTCAATTTTTTTCTGAAATTTTGACCCTCCTCCAACTCCTTGTCCTCACACTACAGACACGCTCTAATAAAAACATACCCTATGTTGACTCCTGCTGCTATTTTCAGCACTAATGCTTCCCTCCTCAATGTGCTGCTTAGACTTACTGTTCAGATTTCCTCTTCTCCAGCTCAGTGAGAAATCCTAAGCCAGCAATACCTTAAGGTCACAGCAATAACCAGCTAAAACTATCCTTATATATTCACTTCATTCTTGTTGATCATCTTTGACACTACCAACCCTGGTATTTCTCCTCAACTCCCATCCTCATTTAACCTCTTTGGGCTCTCTTACTCTCCTCCTCCTGACCAGAAACATAAATCAACCTTACACAAGGAGAATTTACTTCACCCATACAAATATTTCCTGAAGAAAAAACCAAATTCCACACTTCTTAGCATCTTGCCAACACACTGTCTATGCTGGGAGTCAGGACGGTCTGACCGTTTCCTTGCGCTCCCCCTTGTGTCTGCTGTCAGACTGAAGCTGCTGACTTTCGAGAAAAAGCGTTATTAGCGTCTGGCCAAGCCTCCACATTCAGGTTCCCGTGTCCTGGAAATGAAAATACACAATGGTGCACACTACTTTGTAAAAGCTGATCTCCTGTAGTGTTTCAAACTGGCTATTCACACATTAAAGCACAATGCAGTCAGTCACTAATCTCTCTTGAAACTGCAGATTGAGGTTATTATTTTTAGCTCACAATTTTTAGGAACAAATTCCAGTATCTTCATGCTATGTCAGCAGCACAGAGCACCCACAAACTCAGCCTAGAAAGCCACCTATTCCTTCACTTGCTGCACAGTTCTAAGGGAAATGAGGCTTAAAAGCTGGCTTTCAATAATACAGAAAGCTTGCATTTTCAGAACTGTTTTAACAATTTCTCTATGAAAGTATTAGTACCTATTCAGGATACAGACCACCAAAGACCAATGAACTGTATGAAAAGACCAAGTTCCTTTCACCCTTTTTTTAATGCCATTTTCACCTAGTGGAAATACTAATCCTCAAAGTCTGGTGGCATTAGCAGTAAGTTCCTTACAGGATACATGTGAACTCCTACAGTAGCTAGCATAAGAAGCCTCACTGTCATACTTAGGAATGATCCAAAACAGGCATTTGGAGCAAAAATCTAATAAACGAAGAATAACCCTCAGAGTAGCAAACCTATGGTTTGGTCTAGCCCTGCTTCTGTTAAAACTGGAAGCTGAGTATCTCTTGGAAACAGACATCTGGACTCAGGGGAGGAAGATGCAGAAGCAGCAAAAGAGGTTATTCACTTTCTGTACACTGCTTTCTTTAAATACTGGCAGTCATGGGTAAATAGTGCTGCAGAAACACATATTAAACCAAAAAGCCTCTGTGGAGAGGGATGATGATGTACAACAGTAAGTAATGAAACCTAACTGGAATTCTAATGATAAAGACTTTATTAAAATGTCATTTTAAAAAAGCAATTTAAATGAGCTTAGGAAAAAAGAAACAAAAAAAAAGGCAATTTAAACCAAAGATGGTGGGGAAGGGGCAGGCAAAAGATCCTTTCAGGCTAGACCCCCTCCCCACAGTCTCACTCCAGGCCCCCCACTCCGCTCCTTCCCAGTAGCATCCCACTGCCACCTTCCTATCTCTCACTCACCATACACCAGTCAGTATGGCACTGGCTGACACTTGAGTGCACACAATGAAGAGATCTGATCAGTCTGGACAGTCAGGCAGCAACTGTGAGCACCACCGTTTAATGGGTCTGTATGAAGCCAGCAGCAGCAACCCCCAAACGCTGAAGAGATATTTACTTTCCTGTGAAAAGAGGAGACACCAAACCTGAGGAGTGAAATATGAGGAAGGAGAGGCTGAGGTACCAGGCAGCTACATACTTTAAATAATACTTCCCTCAACTCGCAGTCTAATTCCAGGGATCCCCTATGCTTCCTGATTGCAGTTGCTTTCGGTCCTTCCTTGGGGAAAAAGTCTTTTCGGGGGGGTTCTCTTCCCCTTCCTTAAAAGCTGTGTATAGGCTCTATTTACTCAGGATGGCCAGGATGCAAAGGGTGCTCTTGGAAGTTATAGTTGTCATCCACTTCCCAGAGCTGAGGTTCATCAGAAAAGACCTCTACCTCAACAGACCTAAGAGCAGCAGAGACCAAGAGAGGTAGGGGATCAAATTTACACCCTCATTGACTTGTGCTAACAAACACGTCAGTGAAAAGAGATTTGCTGTCCTGAAGAGAATGTCTCTTCATGGAATGGTCAGTCTTTTAACACCTATCTCCATTATTGATACTAAATCAAAGCAGACACCATTGCCCGATAAATTCCTCAGTATATCACTGTCCTGGAGGCACATCTTAATGCCTTTTTATGGCAAACTTCAATTGATCTACAACTTGCTGCACTGGCTTTCACGCAATTATTGACACAACAAATCATAAGCTCTTGCTTTCTTATGGGAGTCAGCGAGAAAGAACAGATGAGAAACACGGCAACTCATGAGGGAGCTGTGCAGTCTTCATTTGAGACTCAAATGTGTCCCTAAGACACTGAATGAAGGCAGGGTTTCACTACTGCCTTTACTCTTTCACTCCTAGTGCAGGTCAAGCAACTTAACTGCACTTGGGCAAGTTCTTCGAGTCCCTTCCGCTTCTTTCTTCCTGCAGAGGGGACTGACAGGGACTCTTGTGAGGCTCTGGCCTTGCACGGTTGAAATGAAGGTACAACACAGGAGGGCACATTGTCTCTTCTTCGGGAAACCCAAGTCCTGCAGCACACCTGGGTTACCAACGAACACAGCACCACTGCAGCACCTTCCAAGTTGACCATTATTGCAGGGCACAGCATTTCCACTGGGGTGCCTGCCAGCACAAGTGTCCCCATCACCCTTGATGGTGTGAATCCATGCACGCGAAGTTAAGGCTCAAAGCACTCCCTCTTCAACAAGTTGACTGGTTGCTGCACCCAGACCTCTTCTGGGGAAGCTTTCAGGCTCTGGCACCAGCCTCCAGCCTGCACGAAACAGCTAACATTGCCCGAGGTACTGTTGCCAGCTTCCTTCATCCCCTCCTGTGCCTCCCGGGAGCTATTAATACAGCAGGCACATGTTCTGACATTGCGTTCCCCGGCAGATAACTTTAATTTGCCCTTTAAACGTCCCGAGACCAGCGGCCCTCGCGCTCCCTCCTCAGGGGAACATGGCGCCGCTGCCCCGCGCCCCTTCAATGGGGGCGGGCTCGAGGGGTCTCAGCCAATGCCCACGCCTCGGTGGCAGCCTCCTCCTATCGCGAGAGTCCGCGGCGTATAAGAGGGAAGGTGCGGGGCGGGGTGCCATTTGGCGGGCCGTGCGCGGGGGCAGCCGGGTGGGGAGGTTCGCGGCTCGTTGGTTGTCTCCGGGCAGGGGGTGTCGGACCCGCTGCCAGCATGGGTGACCAAGCTGTCAGCTTCCTTAAGGACTTTCTGGCCGGTGGGATCGCTGCCGCCATCTCCAAGACGGCTGTCGCCCCCATCGAGAGAGTGAAGCTGCTGCTGCAGGTGAGGGGGTGCGGGGAGCCGCGGGGCTGTGGTACAGGTGGATGCCGGAGAGGCGGGCGGCTGCCAGCGTGACTAAATAAGGGCAGGATCTCGGCCGGCTCCGGTTACGCGGGAGCTGCCCTTCAGCACCGCGCCGGGGCGCTGGGAGCTGGGCCAGCGGTGGGGCAGGCCCGGTCGCTGCCCTTCACGGGGTCGCCGTGCGGAGTCGCGCCTGCAGTGTCCCTTTCTCTACCCTCCCACCCGTCCCCTTCCTCCCTTCAGGTCCAGCATGCCAGCAAGCAGATCACCGCGGACAAGCAGTACAAGGGCATCATCGACTGCGTAGTCCGCATCCCCAAGGAGCAAGGCATCCTCTCCTTCTGGAGAGGCAACCTAGCCAACGTGATCCGGTACTTCCCCACCCAGGCCCTCAACTTCGCCTTCAAGGACAAGTACAAGCAGATCTTCCTGGGGGGAGTGGACAGGCACAAGCAGTTCTGGCGCTACTTTGCCGGGAACCTGGCATCTGGGGGTGCTGCTGGAGCCACTTCCCTCTGCTTCGTCTACCCGCTGGATTTTGCCAGGACCCGGCTGGCAGCTGATGTGGGCAAAGGAGCCAGTGAGAGGGAGTTCACTGGGCTAGGCAACTGCATTGTCAAGATCTTCAGGTCTGATGGCTTGAAGGGCCTGTACCAAGGATTCAGTGTGTCTGTCCAGGGCATCATCATCTACAGAGCAGCCTATTTTGGGGTTTACGACACGGCAAAGGGTAAGAAGTGCATGGAGAAGTGACTACAAGGGAAGACCTGTCCGGTAAACAAATTCTGGGGCACTTGGCAGCACAAGGACAAGCCAGGCTTGGCTCAGCACCAGTTCAGGGTGCTAGTGCTAGATTATGCACAAGTGTTCCTGAAATGCATTCCTGACTCCTTTAACTTGCTATTCTGAGCAGAAGCTTTGGGTTGGCAGTCTCTGTTCAGATGCTTTACAGTTTTTCTCTGTCTTAAGGCTTGTACAGATGGGCTTGTATGATAGCTTGTTCCTCATGACACAAGCCTGGGAGGGTTCTGCAGGAGAGACCTTTTGGTCAGGGAGCATGAAGGCAGCTTAGATCCCAATATCCAACAGTCCTATAAACTTGCAGTTAGCTGATAATAGTCAAATATGGATGAAGGGAGAAGTTTCATGCTTGATTATGTTGACTTGATTGACTCCTGGTGTTGGTGGGTGGTTGTTTCTTTCACAGCCATCTTCCCCACAACCTTTTCCCTCTGTACTGACTCTTGTCATTTGTTCTTGATGACAGGTATGTTGCCTGATCCAAAGAATGTGCATATTGTAGTGAGCTGGATGATTGCCCAGACTGTCACTGCAGTATCAGGTCTGGTTTCTTACCCTTTTGATACTGTGCGACGTAGGATGATGATGCAGTCTGGCCGAAAGGGAGGTAAGAATAAGTGCTATGGTGGTCTGGCAGCAGAAAGCATCTCTTCATCAAGATGTGGGGGGAGATGCTGGGTGGGTTTTGTATTATGCAAAACTAATGACTTCTTATTAGAATCCTTAAAAAACAAAAAAATACAGGAAATACATTGGTAGTATTTCTGCCTTTTCCACTTAAAAGGCTGAGACTGATTTGATTTCCACATGGAGAATTACTGAATTACTTCTCATTAATTGATTATTTGATTTTTAAGTTCTTGGCTTATTCCTTGTTTTAAATATATGAAAGTTGAAACAGAAATGCTGTATAACTTCAAGTCTTCTGACCTTCATGTCTTTTTCCACAGCTGATATTATGTACAAGGGCACAATTGATTGCTGGAGGAAGATAGCTAAAGATGAAGGAACCAAAGCATTCTTCAAAGGTGCCTGGTCGAATGTGTTGAGAGGCATGGGAGGAGCTTTTGTACTAGTACTTTATGATGAAATCAAGAAATACGTCTAAAACTCGCCATAATATAGTTCAATTGTTCTCAATCAACTTTTTCAAAAGAATATGCTATTGTGATATAATGGACAACAAAATTATTTCCTAGGGAAACAATGTTTGAGTAACATCTGACTGAGACCAGGATGCATAAATTTAAAAATTGTCCACTACATCACAGTTCCATTTTTGTATGAAAATTTCTCCAACATTTGTATTGGAACCTGTGTATATATTATACTTCAAATTTGAGGTAATATTTTGTCTAGAGCCAAGACATAGGTGGTCTCTACCTAGTTTAAAATGTAGTATTGTGGAGATTTAAGAGAATGACATCTTTGGAATACCTGTTGTACTAAGTGATGCCTCTAGCTAATCCAACAGTGTGATGACATAGCATGAATTAAAATGTTTCCTTAAGATGTATTTTTTTTAATACATATTAAATGAAAAACATGTCTAAAAATATAAACTATATTAAAGCACCAGGCTGAGTTCCTAACTGCAGCCTCTTCACAGACAAATTATGCAGTCATATGTCTGAAACCATAACCTTATTTTACAAACATACTTTGTAGAATGTGGAAATAACATTTAAAGAATTCCCTGGATTGTCACTAAGCAAAAAGTTGTCTGCTGATGTGCAATTGAACTAAACCTGAAACAATGAAATAAATTAATATATTCATGAACTTCTTCCTGTTTTTTCAATACACTGAGCACATACATGTGTCCTTAAAGGCAATTTGCTGATTGGCACAACTTAGTGATTATCTGGCACTGCCTAAGCCTCTTAAGCTTTTTTCACAGAACTTTAGTTTTGCTATTGTAGAAATATCAACAATCATTTCACACCTACTTAAGTGCACTGGCAGGGATGCCATAGTTACTGGACAGTCTCAGCTGGAGAGTATCATTAGCCAATAGGGCATGTCAGGGGAAAAAGAATCATGCCCCAGCCAGTGTCTCTTAGCCACCTGTGTGTTCCCATTGTGAAGTTCTTGCTTTTAACCACTTTAAATGTCTTGACAGCATATTCTAGTCCTAAGAACCAAACTCTGACCGCATATAATACAGTGGAGAGAACTATGATTGCTGTACACAATCAAGAGGCAAGAACAAAAATCATGGCATTTTAGGACTCCAGTGAGAAACACAGGTAGTTCTGAAACCAGAAGTGACAGCTTACAAGTAGCAAAGTTGCCAAATCCTGTCTCTTCTTGGCCAGGAGGAATCGCCAAGAGATGTACAGCAGTTCTCTTGACCAAGGTATGAGTACCATCCATCCTGAATTCAAACCACATCTGTATCACACGCATTAGTGATCCCTGCTGATACCTGAAACAGTATGATCTCAACATGTCCTGGGTTCAGCAGTAGGAGTCATTTTTCTTAGTAGCTGGTGCAATGCTGTGTTTTTGACTTTCAGCCTGGGAACAGTGCTGATAACACTGATGTTTTTAGTTGCTGCTTGGTAATGTTTACTCTGACCAAGGACTTTCCAAGTCTCATGCTCTGCCAGGGAGGAAGGGAAGTTGGGGGGGAAGCAGGGACAGGACACCTGACCCAAACTAACCAAAGAGGTATTCCATACCACTATATAAACTGGGGGCAGTTACCTGGAAGGGTTAGATCACTGCTCAGGTTGGGCTGGGTATCGGTCAGCTGGTGGTGAGTACTTGTATTTTTTTCTTCCCTTGTTATCTCCCTTATCATTATTATTATTGGTGGTAGCAGTAGTGATTTGTGTTATACCTTAGTTACTGGACTGTTCTTACCTCAACCCGTGGGAGTTACATTCTTTTGATTCTCCTATCCTGGAGCAGGGGGGGGAGGAAAGGGAGGGTGAGTGAGTGAGTGAGTGAGCGAGTGGCTGCGTGGCTGAGCTGCTGACTGAGCTTAAACCATGACACAACATAATTGCAGTCCTGAAAGATGGCTCCAGGTCCAGTCTGTAGTTTCACATTCATCAGGTAGGAATCTCAT